AAATATTTTTTGAGTAGTATCTGTATTGTGAGCTCTGAATTTACGTATGGAAGCGATTGGTATCGTAGATTTTAGAATGTTGATGCGTGCTGGTAAGGTATTGAAACAGAATAAATGAAGGGGTTTCGATTGCAGTTGATAGTTGCAAGATTAGTGCTCCACGATTCGCAGCTGAATCACGACAAAATGAATGGACACTGAACTCGAATGGTGTTTACATAGGACCTATTGCTGGTCTACAATATCTTTTATATTTTGGTTTGTTTTTAGTTGGTTATTTGGATGTGTAATTGTTTCATTTCATTATTCATATGACTTTTTGACAATCTTTTTAGTAAATATCATCATTGAATGCTGATGTTGTTTGAAATTTAAGGAACTTTAAATTTTAAAATTTAAGGAACTTTACCGTATTGTGATTTGTGCTATATGGTATTGGATGAGCAAAACGTGATGGAACACTTTTCATCTGAAAATCATCTCATCAAATTTTTGGTTAGTTTTTGTTTTTTTAGTTGCTTCATTTAATAGAGATTTTTGAATAGTTTATATTGATTCGTATTGATTACCCTTGTACGTGTCTGTATGTCGTTTAAATTATTGTAATTTTTGAGTTAAAACGATTCGTTATGGCAATTTTTTTTCAATGAAATGACTTATACTGATTGAAGCTTGTTAAACTGGTAATTGAATCGGTTACAGTCTTATAATCGCCCAGCTTCAATGTATACGGCAATGTATTTGCCTGAAGATGCACGACGTTCGCATATGCTATCTCTACTGGGATGTCTCGGAACCGACTGCAGCGTTGGTGGTAGTCCGCGTAAAGTTGAGGTAGATCATTTCGGATTATAGTGATTAGTAGCGCTCGATTTTATTGCTACTTTTTATGATATTAAAGTGTATTCAAATTGTTCACAATTAATTTTCAACTTATGATTTTTTTTTGCTCGCTTTTGCATCATTTGATGCAAAATTTCGATTGTTATTGCCCATTGCCAGATGAATAACCACGGAATGAATCAAGTGAATTTAAAGGTCGCTCATATTCCTGAATTGGTNATTGCAAATTCGAATCCGATTATGGCAAATGTGCCATCGTTAATGCCCCCGTGTATGTCGATTGGCGTCGAGAATTTCTGTTTTTGGTGTCCAGTGAGTATTCGACTCAATTCTTTATTAATCATCCTTGGAATCGCTAATTTTTTTTAAAACTTCAATTTTCAAATATGAATTGCTTAAGTGTAGATTGAACAAATACGAATATATTACACAGATTTGTTGGCGAGTAATGAAGGTGCCAAAAGAAGACGATGAACGAATACAGTTATGGACCGAGCACTGTACCAAATCGAGAAAGCATTTCGAATGCGCTGTTCGACGCGATCTATTCAATTTTGGTGTGTTGCTTACACTGGGAATACGTTATTCATAACTGAGTGGCATTGTGCTTACAATGTTAACATTTATGTCAATTATGAAAAATATTACACCGTTTACGAATCGTTGTTTCACCATTCGGCGATTATCCTGCAATGTAGATAGACGATGGATGGTTAGAAGTGTGACTGATGTTTAGAGCAAAAATATTTCAGAGGATGTGAATTTCGTTGATATTGTAACAACACTACAATTACCCGCATTCAAACAATTAGCCAGTTGGGAGCTGGTTAAAATGAACAATGGCATGGAGATTAAGATACAGCACTTCACCTACATTGGTCTTGACTTTGTGGTCGATGATGTGCTCAACAACGAGGTTAGTTTCGCATATTTTAATGCAAAAAGACGGTAATTCGTAGCTGTCGGCAGCGCAATTGCTTAAGTGAGTAAAGCAGTTCAAACCGCGATACAGTCCATTGATATTCACTGAGCTTTTTGTTTGTTAGGATTTGATAAATAGGCCTACATTTATAGATGAATGAAGAGTGGAATGTTTAGATGAACTGATAATTCATGTGATGCATTGAAGTAATGCAATTAGACCGAATAATGAATTGAAAGAGTGGATCTTGTTGAGTTATGATCGAGCATGAGATGAATAAAGTGGAGTTTTTAAAGGATTAGTTGGTTGAAGGAAAGCATTGATTGGCACGAATTTGGTTTGATATGCATTGACAGTCATATAAATGTTTTAGATTGTTTGTATAGCGTGTGCGGAAATATTTTCACGTAGTGATTTATCGCAGTTGTGTTTGCATATTCGATCCAGGAACCATTTACTGCAATATTTGGTTTGTTTATTCGCGCAAATTGTTCTTTTCCGCCTATCTTATCAGATTCTTCGCTTTGTTAGTGTACACAAAAGAGTGAGTGAACTGAAAATTGCGAGAAATATTTAGATGAACTCTTATGAGAGAGCTCAAACTAAAACCGAAATTAGGCAAATGATAAAATGTAGCATGCAAAAAATGCATAGAATCATGGACAGGTTAATAGAATTGTGGAGCTTTTCTTATTCTGTGAGAGAGGATTCTGTTGTTTCGGTTCTCAGAAAATGGGTTAACTTTAACGAATTGAGATACATCCAAACAAATATGGTGATTAGTTGGTGTTTCTTTAAAATTTGCATGAAAAATTTACATGTGAAATTTTCGACGACTTATTTTTCTGTGAACATTTCACATTTGATAAATTAAACTGATGAAATACGCTCAATTGCCGATGTGTTTAGCACACGACCGATCGTGAGATGTACAATCTGATCGAATCGCAGCAAATGCAACACGCTGTCGACAACCTTTTAATCGATTACTTACGTCGATCGATCTCATCGGTCGGTCAGATTCGTGTTTATAACGCCAATTTAGCGGTAACAGCCAAGAGTTGGGGTCAGTTACCATATCGAAAAGTGCAGCTCGCGAACGTTGACGCTGAACATCGAGCAGCATTCGAGTTGCTTGTCAAAATCGTTGATCAGCTGGCCAACGATAAAGGTGAGGGAAAAAAATTTCTTTTGGTTGATTTCAGCTTCGAATCGTGAATTTGATTGAAATTTGTTGATTGGTGAAATTTGTTTTTGAATTTTTGAAGTTGGTTGATGGCATTTGAAGCTTCGAAGTGTGTTGTGTTGAGAGTTGAAGTGGTTGGTTGCTTGATGATAAATTGTGAATGCTTTGTGTTTTCAGCCGAACAAATCACCATACCGATAAAGGATGCATTGCAGCTGTGTTCGATTCGCATACAGACAGTAGCTGATAAAAATGTGTTATTGTATTGTAAGGTGAGTATCGCTTTGAGACCGTTGAGTAACGCGCTGTGTTGTTCAGTTTTGTTGAGTAATGTGGCACGAAGCATTGCACTAAATTCTCTCTAAAACAATGAATGGTTGATTTAATTGTTGAGCTATTCGATTTAGCATACTGATTTGAGTGATTCGGAGGATTGAATGCGTGTTATTTAAGGGATGTGAGCGTATTTTAAGTGTTGCTGGAAACGCAGTCGAGAAGGGTGTATGGGACGAGCATTTATTGGGCGAGTTGCACGCAAAACGAGCTGATTCGTTGGCAAAGAATAAATTCGGTTTGTAGCATCGTAATTTTTGAATGAATTCATTTGCAGCTCGAGAAAAGATCTCGATATTTCGGGAATATCATTCGATATTGGGGAGAAATAAACTCTTATCGTTGCTTTCGTTTCAGATTCCGCGGGTTT